TAAGTCGTCCATCCTAATCCGTCAAATATCTAAGTTTATATGTTTTATTTACTGTAGAGAGACGTGAACAACTTTGTTCGAAAGGACCTTGAAGACATGTTTCCAAAATGGGACGGAGACAGAGATGACCCTGCCGCGGACAACATAACTAAAGCCATGTTTGTTCCTAGATGGAAGTGGACCATGGACTGCTGGCAAGTCACTGATACTCAGAAGGTTGGTGTGAAGCTTGAGAGTGGTGTGAAGATTGAGAGTTGTGTGAAGGAGGAGAGTGGTGTGAGGGAGGAGAGTGGTGTGAAGGAGGAGAGTAGCAGACCTTGGAAGAAAGCTCGTAAAGAGTCGCATGTTGAAGCTGAGTCTTTTACGAAAAAGCATCTTCAAAAAGCCTTGAAGGACATATCTGATGCCATGAAGGATAGGTTTGATAGGTGCCTTAGGGAGATACAGTTGGTGGGGTCTAGGGTGGGAGCTTTGGAGAAGAAGGTGGGAAATCTGGAGAAGATGGTGGGTAGTACTTCAGCAAATCCAGAAAAACTCGGGGTTAGTACTAGAATCAATATGCAACGTGTTAAGAAGAGAACAAAATAGGCTTGTGTGTAGAGTTTTTAACCATTGTATCATTTGCTTCGCAACCTTTGTGGTTTGTTTCAAATGTGCATGGATTTTTAAAAATGTGTGAATTTCCTTTGTGACTTTGTTTCTGGTGTGTTGTTTTTAAACACATTTTGTATATCGACATTGCAGAGTGAAAGTGTGAATGGGGTGAAAGAAAAGAGCCATACTCCCTCGAAAGAGCTGGTGGTGAAGGAAAATGTAGAGGACCCGAGTGGTGAAGCCAGTCTTCTCGTTTTGGACACACAAGTACCCACTGCCGAAGATTTAGAGCAAGCGGAAGCTAGGAGGCAGACAAAGAAGGAAGCATACAAGGTGAAACTCCGTGCAAAAAGTGAGCGAGATCGAAAACTTGCTCCCACTCAACAAACTCCTTTCAAGGGAAACAGCACTGTCAAACAGATCATTCCAAACAAAATTGTTGGCAAAGGTTATGATCCTTTTGCTGAAGTTGACAAGAAGAAGTCGGATGAACTCACTACATGGCTCCAAACTGATCCGTAAGTCGCTTTAATATCCTATAAACTGCCTCTGGAAAAAATGATTGATTATTTTTGTGTTTCAGGGCATATAAACGGCCTCTGGACAAAAAACCACGAAAATGTCCAAGTCGGTTTTATCATGTCATCCGAACCCCCTTAGAATGGTTCACCGACCATGTAAGTCTTCTATTTTCTTACTTATAAGTAACTCTAACTAAGTCGTCTGAAAGTCGTCTGTGAAGTCTTTTTCTGGACGACTTTCAGACGACTTAACTTTAAGTCGTCTGTGAGGTCTTCTATCTGGACGACTTTCAGACGACTTAGACTGATTAGAATGGTTCACCGACCATGTAAGTCTTCTATTTTCTTACTTATAAGTAACTCCAACTAAGTCGTCTGAAAGTCGTCTGGAAGTCGTCTGAAAGTCGTCTGTGAAGTCTTCTCTCTGGACGACTTTCAGGCGACTTAACTTTAAGTCGTCTGTGAAGTCTTCTCTCTGGATGACTTTCAGACGACTTTCAGACGACTTAACTTTAAGTCGTCTGTGAAGTCTTCTTTCTGGATGACTTTCAGACGACTTAACTTTAAGTCGTCTGTGAAGTCTTCTTTTTAGACGACTTTCAGACGACTTAACTTTAAGTCGTCTGTGAAGTCTTCTTTCTGGACGACTTGCAGACCACTTAACTTTAAGTCGTCTGTGAAGTCTTCTTTCTGGACGACTTTCAGACGATTTAACTTTATGCTTTTATCTGACTTGTATTGTTTTATTTGCAGCAAATGGATGCTTTTATCAATTTACTGAGGCAACGGTACCAAGACCATCCAGATTGGTTCAGGAGCTCGAGAATGTGCTTTCTTGATCATGTGTTCGCTCGGCAGTGGAGGGCGGAGTACCATGAATTTAAGAACGACATCGGAGATGTCAACGGTTTAGCAAGAAAACTCCATGGTGGGGGGCGTGGAATTATCATTCAGGCGAGGTACCTTCTTTTTGCCAATCTATGAAGGTATGGGGGGCGGATGTGGATGATATCTATGCACCTGTGAACTACAATGACACCCATTGGATTGCTATATGGATATCAATCCCTAATAGGCACATTGTCGTCTGAGACAGCATTATCAGGCATATTTCACCCGTTGAACTCGATTAGGTAATGGAGCCTTTTATTTACATGGTCCCTTATCTGCTATGTGAGTGCTCTGTGACTGACGAACAAAAGACACGATACACATTGGAGCCATATACCTATGAGAGACTATCAACTGTGGTACCTCAGTGCCGAAGTGGTGATTGTGGCCCCTTCGCTCTGAAGTACATTGAGTGTCATGCTCTTGGGATGGACTTTCCCAAAGCGCTTTGTTCTAGAAACGGGAAGTTTATCAGGGAGAAGATGG